TTCAGGGAACGCAGGCGCGCCATTGAGCTCAAGGCACAATTCCTGTTGCCTTGACACGACGCTCTGGTGTCAAGCCAGCTGTGTCATGGCGGCTTAGCTCGAGATTAAACCGTCAAATAAACGATGTGGGATGTGGCCTGCCATGACGCAACTGATCTAACAACATAGTGCTGTGTCGAATCAACTAACTACGAAAACTTACTCGCAGTGCCGCGTCTTGGATGTTCAAAACTACACCCACGATAAGAACCGGGACGCTAACATTGTTGGGGGAACCACTTGGCAGCATCTCTATATCTCTTACCCAAAGCGGCTTGATCTCGGTGAAGACTCTGTGGGACTACCTCTCGGCGGGTTAGATAGCCCCACTGAGAGTATTATCCTCTGCTAAGCCTGAGCTAATTCCTCCAACTACATTAGCCAACAGGGTAGTGAGGGTAGAGTACAGGCCACGTCCTAAGTTGAGGAAAACTCCTGCAAAATTCGACCTCCGCGCCCTTCGAAAACTAACCCGCTGGTACTATCCCTCCTTTCCCCGTCACCCACCCCCACTTATTATCTCTCTAAGTTCTCCCTACCCTATCACCTCCCCAACTTTCTTTTTCGAAAATTCTCCAGTTTCCAATAAAGAGGTAGAAAAGATAGTGTGCGGAAGGTGCGGCAGTACCGGGGAGGAGTATATGTAATTCACTTGAAACAAGAAAAGCCGAGAAAAGCCAACAATCCGAATTTTTTAGGTGACAACTCCGACCCTCGTCCCTCCAACGACTAAATACGACCCCGTCGCTAGAAATCCCCTACCTACGCATGACGTACGCGGTAGAGTAGCCCTCAAACCAATACCAATTTCGCATCAAGATTGTCATAAACTATACTGGTATTCTGTTTTACAACTGAAATTCCATGAACACACCTTGAATCCTTTTATGAACATAGAGACGATTATATCGCGCTTCCTTCTCGCTAAGCTCAACAGCAACTCCCAGCAACATGAGCATATTATCACAGTCGACGATACCCATGGCATACAGGTCACTCAGCACATTAGCGCATGTCACTCTGCCCTGAACTAGAAAAACTCTGGTAACACAAATACAGTGGTAATACAATATGTGGTTCAATAATGCAAGTAAAGAACATAATGTTCATAGATTAGATACCATGAGGTACGGGTCGTCAACCAAGGGGTAGAAAAAGTCGGTTGTTTGAACAAGATTCAAGCCCTTATGTCGAAGTGGTACGACGCAGCTATCAAGCCCAATACCTAAAATTAAAATTTGAAAAAGATCAATTTTAAAACAATATGATCAACATCTCACGGTTTCAGACCACCAAAAAACCATTGATCCAAGATTTCCTAGAGAACCACTAAGGCATTGAGGTAGTTGAGGGTGAGGAATATAATGGTCACGCTCTGATACTTTTTCAAAAAAAGGGCTAAGGCTCAGAGCGAAAACGATTAGAGTCGTTCAGAGATAGTTCTGCAGAGAATACACAGTACCCACTAAGTATAGAGTATATACAGCACCTCTTGATTAGAAGAAGGGATACGGAGGCGCTGGTGAGTGGTTTCCCTTTTTTCCCCACACACATTCTTTTGCACGCATTCTCCTTGTCTCCAATTCACCCCTTCGCAGAGTATAAATGCGTTCTCAGGCTAGATCAGAAGTGGTGCCTGACAAGACCCTATCCGACCCTTTTCAAAAACGAGTTCATGGGGGAAAACACGTTATCGAGTAAGGTCCTAATACTGACCTTCACAAAATCGCCCTGATATCCAGAGCCTTTCTACTCATAAACGCTGCTCCCAACTGTTTTGTTATGATAACTGCTGTTTAACGCCGCAGTACGTGCTCCGAATGTTATCATAAGAATGCTGAGTTGTGGGCGCTGGCTTTCCTGCTCTACATCAAACATACTTCCTTTTCCACCCAAAATGCCCAGAGCGTCTACGAAAACTATGAAAGCAGCCTGAAAGGAAAACCTCACTCACCAAC